CTATTTTATAGAACATAAAAAAAACTTCCTGGCATTGTGAGACATATATGCAGTGAATGAATCTTCATGATGTTTCACTTGATTGTACATTTAGTCAGGAATCATGGTTTGGAAAAAGTAACTAGTAAAATATGTACAAGTTATGTCACAGTAACACAATAGCAACTAATGCAAGTAGGCAAATAAAAAAAGACTTACTATATCCTCCACTGAATATCACGCCGGAGCGTTCTTCTGAGGAAAATCCAAAGCTTATTTCTCTCAGCGCGTCTTCTTCCAGAAGTGAAGTAGCCGAGATGAACTTGAGGAAACGTCTCGCTGCTTTGTTAGCTGTGATGTGGGCGTTTACATGCGCGTGTCTCACGTGGACTATTGTAATATCAAAAGCGCGATCGGCGCGTGGGCGTGGTCACATTAGCGATAATGAAGGCGACGGCCAAGACTTGACATTGCGTTGGTTTCATACTGATTACTTTGTCACATAATATTTGAAACAAATCCTAGGTGGCAGCAAATGACTGTTTGAATGAGTAAGTCATTTAGGCCCAATCCCAATTCTACCCCTTAGCCCTTCCCCTTTCCCCTACCCCTCCTGTGTAATTTCCTGCGACATGATGACATGTCGCAAATTATAATATTATTTTTAGTCCTATGTACCAGCGACATCAATGTGGCCTACATATTAAGAGTCATAACTAAACTTTTTCTAGGAATGTGTAAGACTTACAATTTATTAGCTGCAATAGGTAAATACTTCAGAAGACAGCTCTCACTGCCCAACTTATTTCTCGATACAGCAAGATGCTCTGGCCCATGATTGGCCCAGTGCTCGCTTGTACGCTTTCCCCCCTGATAGCCCTGCTTCCGCTGGTTCATCAAATGGGGCAGGGAGATGAAATGCTCAGTTCTCTTGGTGGCCCCACTCTGGAGGAACCAAGCTTGGTTCCCCAAGTTAGTGCAGCTCATAGATTCTTTATGGGGTTCAGGTCAGGAGAGTTTGCTGGCCAATCAAGCACAGTAACACCATGGTCACCGAACCAGCTTTTGGTACCTTTGGCAGTGTGGGCAGGTGCCAAGTCCTGCTGGAAAATGAAATCAGCATCTCCATAAAGCTTGTCATCAGAAGGAAGCATGAAGTGCGCTAAAATTTCCTGGTAGATGGCTGCGTTGACTGTGGACTTCAGAAAACACAGTGGACCAACACCAGCAGATAACATGGCAGCCCAAATCATCACTGACTGTGGAAACTTCACAGTGGACTTCAAGCAACATGTTTTCTGTGCCTCTCCACCCTTCCGCCAGACTCTGGGACCTTGATTTCCAAATGAAATGCAAAATTTACTATAATCATCAAAATTTCAAGAAATAAAGGCTTGAAATATTTCACTATATGTGTAATGAATCTATATAATATATGGGTTTCACTTTCTGAAATGAGTGACAAAAAATATTGACCTTTTTCATGATATTCTAATTTTTTGAGATGTACCTATATAAGATGCCTTTACGCCCTCAAATGGTCAGTCTTTCACGAGTGGTTAAACCCTCCATGTCCTCAGACCGTACCGATCTGGGACATGTCAATAGTCCTTAGGGCCCTACGGGGTCCTCCCTTTGAGCCACTACATCCGGCCGAACTACACTCTTTGTCGCTGAAAACTGCTCTGCTACTGGCACTAGCATCGGTCAAGCGAGTGGGTGACTTACAAGCACTGTCAATCAGTGCTTCCCTTCTGGAGTTTGGGCCCAGCGACTGTAAAGTCGTCCTCAAGCCTAGACATGGATATGTTCTGAAGGTGCTCTCAACTCCATTCAGAGCCCAGGTAATTACCCTTCTGGTGCTCCCCGCTGCAGATGGTGAGCAGGGTCCCAATGTTCTCTGCCCCGTCAGGGCCCTGAGAATATATCTTGAACGCTCTAGCCTGTTCAGACAGTCGGAGCAGCTTTTTGTTTGCTTTGGAGGCCGTTCTAAGGGGCTGCCGGTTACAAAGCAAAGACTATACCGCTGGATAATTGATGCTATAGCCTTGGCTTATGCCTCAGAAGGTTTGCAATGCCCCATAGGTGTGAGGGCCCACTCCACTAGAGGAATGGCCTCCTCCTGGGCTTGGTCCAGCGGAATCTCTATTGGTGAGATATGTGCGGCCGCCGACTGGTCGTCGCCGTCCATGTTTGCCAAATTCTACAGCCTAGATGTCCCTGCTCTCCAGGCACGGATTTTATCGGCTTAAACTGCTTATTCCTTCCTATGGTGGAAATAGCTATGTTTAAAGTCCTCAGCTACGCTCGGGACTTAGTTGGCTCATGTTCTCTGGGGGCCCTTAACATAAGTGCTCCAGAACTGGGCTCGCAGAGCGGCTTAGTCTGCTTCTGCTCATAGCACGGCGTGATTGGATTCGTTCCCTATACACAACGTGAAGAGAACGTTCGAAAGGGAACGCTCTGCTACTGGCTATGGTTCAGACGTAACCTCGGTTCCTTGAGATAAGGGAACGAGCGTTGTGTCACTTGCCGTGCTATAAGCTGCACACAAATCGATGACTGTCGCTTCAGTCGAATGATTCTGATGAAATGGCACTGCGAGCCGACTTATATACACATCGGCTCTGCCCTTTCTGGCAGGCTAAAGCGCCATTGGTTTGTGCAGCTACACAAACGTGAACAAATCAGGCTTCAGTAACAGAGTAGACAGGAGTTTGCCCCATACACAATGCTCATTCCCTTATCTCAGGGAATCAAGGTTACATCAGTAACAGGAGCATTTTATACCCTATAACAATGCATATAAATAATTCAATTTATAGTGCAAACCAAAACATGAAAAATCACTAACTGTTTTTTGATTAAAAACAAAAAACAGCTAAAAACACCAATGAGATCTGTGAGTCACACCTTTGAAGAAATAAACTGAATGTGAATCTTACTGGCAAGGCAACCCTATATTCCTTCATTGATGAAGAGAAACAAGAACTAGCCAATTATTTCCTTAGTCTGAGCACTTTAAAAAAAGCCATCTGAAACAAAAGGTATAAAGCCAGTGAGCTCATTATCCCCCACTATGTTTGCAAGTTACCTAAAGGATCTTCCCGTTAAATCGCTTGGTTTATTCTCCACAGAGCATGGTCCCTCAAGATTACAAAATAGGGAGAATTAAAAAGAAACAAATTAGGGGGGCCTAACGGTGTCTCATGGTGGAATACATTATAATTACCTTTCCGTCACTGAAAGTCATGTATTGCTAAACAATGTGGTTTATCCAGAGGAAATTTTCATTGTCCTTTATGTGACTTTTATGTTTGCTGTGAAAAACCATGGGCCATTTTGGTAATGTAGGCCAATTAGAGACAAACCAGACAACACAGTTATACAGCCAAAAGAATGATGAGAATGGAGGTGACCGGAGATACCCGGTCAATTCTGTTGATAGTTAAATTCCCTGCAGCATTGCTCAGGCCGGCTGCCAAAACAGCAGGGCAGAAGTAAAGGTTTGCTTGAACCCAAGAGGATGCTGATGGGAACACTGGACAACAACAGAAGCAGCACTATCCTCTTAGATCAGAGGTCTTAAATGCAAAATACCTGGTGACTGCTAACCAGGTGGTGGGCAGTTGAAGAGTTGCAATAAAAATGGGGTTTTATGACTATGGATTTTAACTACTGATCAGAGTTCATAGAAGAGGCCCACAGAACCTTCAAGATTTGAAGACTGTTTGTGTGGAAGAATGGGCCAAAATCACACCTGAGCAATGCATGCAACTAGTTTCTCCATAAAGGAGGCGTCTTGAAGCTGTCATTAACAACAAAGGCATTTGTACAAAGTATTCAATACTTTTCCCTGGGTCATTCCATTTTATTACACATAACTTAATTTCTGAACTTATTTGTTTTGTTTTCTTTGTATGTCTGGATTACTTGGGTTGTTACCGACATCTGGTGAAATTTTCATGTCAACAGCACCTTTAGAAATATATTTACCCAGAAAAATGGTGACGTGTTCAATACTTATTTTACCCACTGTATATACACTTAATGATGCATGGTTAGACCTTTTCGGAGTTGAGCAGCTCATCTCAACCTCATACCTAACAGACTGCACTGCATGCTGAGAGGAGTAATGACGCCTAAGATTGTATTCCTTGAGAACAGCAATTTTCTTCTTGCCGATCATGCAGGTAGCATCTCCATTAAGAGATCAGAAACATCACGCTTGCTTTGATGTAATGGTCAGAAGTTATTTAAACATAAAAGGACTAAAATTCACAGCAATCAAATTGCACATGATATTTGTAAATCATTTTATTTCGGACAGCAAAATAAAATGGCTAGAGTAGCTGCAGGGTTGTGAAAAAAAATAAATAGGCTGGCAGTCAATTTAACCAAAAAAGACTACAGCTGCATATTTACATATGTTTTTATTATATAAAATATAAAATGAAAATATATAAAATTAACATTAAATAAAAGTGAAACCTACTCAAAAATACAAACTCTCCAAATGTACTCACTCCAAACCTGTATACTAGTGAAGCACTGAAATTCGTTTTTTTTTTACTGAAACCAAAATTAAAAAGTTTTCATTTAGCAAAAAAAACAAGCTGAAAATAACTTTTCAGTAATTAAACTTATGTAACTGAACTCTGTATGCTGTTTAGAGTTTTGTGTTTTTAAACCAGTCATGGTAAAGCTCTTTGGCAATTATATCCAAGCTAAGAGGGAACATTCTCAGAACTTCGGCTGATGTTCTGACATTATTCCAGTAACATTAATAGAACGATTGTTCAATTATCTGATCTTTAATAATGTTCTCAAAACGTTAGCACAAAATAATTACATACCATTCATGGAATGTTTTTTCTGAATTATTTTAGTTGGATGTTCTTGTAACTTTTTTAACATTAATACTAGTTAACACAAGTTTCAGATGGTTTACATGTAACTTTCCCATAATGTTTGCAAAATGTTATTTCAGCCGAACACATTTTTGTCCCTAGAATCATATTTACCCGTTTTAGGTAATGCACAGTGTGTATGAGATAGACGCTGACGTGGTCAAAACATGCCATCAGAGAAGTGCTAAATAACCTTTATGGTTTTGGTCAATGATTTCAGCCGTCTGAAACTGAAAAATTCTTGTCTGTGCTTTTCCAGGTGAGTATTTTTGTTGCTGACTGTATACATTTCTTTTTTCTGGAGAACACAAAAGAAGATGATTTTGAAGAGTGAAAAACACTCTATGGAAAAAAAAAAAACATGGAGATGTTTTTGAAAATATCTTCTTTTGTGCTCCACATAAAGAAAATCAAGGTGGTCTGCAACAGAATTTCCATGTTTGGGTGAATCATCCCTTTTTAAGAGGACAAAAGATAAAAGCCCAAACCAGAATTTTAAAGTTGACTTGTGGGTCGCATTTATAAACTATTAATGAAGAGCTCTATATCAATCAGCCAAGGATCAGTACTGCAATTGTCTCTAAAGCACTAATGGAAACATCTACTGAACGTAGGCAGGTACTTCCAAGTAAACATAGTCATGTAAATAGGCAATGAGTGGGTACTTAAGGAAAAGTCATTGGAAGAACAGCAAAAACAGCATGTCTGACACAGAACTGTGTTCACAGCTTGGCGGCCAACTCGCAGGTCTGCTTTAAAACAACACTGGCTGTAATGAGTAGCTGTACCTGGGCATGAAAAATGAGCATCTGCTTTTGCAGATAAGGCATCGCTGAGAAAAACTGAAATGTAGCTTTATTTGGTATGTCTGGTGGTGGAAAAAAAATGCAGGATATGGTGCATGCTGACGGAAGCAATGTAAACAGTTGCAATGGAACAACGGAGCCCCCTAATGGAATATTCAGCTACGCTCACAATCCACCGCTGTTTTTCACTGAAACTAATGTAATTAAAAATTTGCAATTGAAAACACTAATTACAGATCATGTATATGGTGAGAAAGTACATGACTGGTCTGTTGAAATAGGCAGAAGAAAGTGTTTGTTGATGTGGGGGACAGACGTCACCTTCACTCAGAAGATGGTGCTCAATTCTCTCAGGACAGTAAGTGATCCTGCTGCTTCTGCTCTGAAGTCCATCACAAGGCGTGGACACAGATGGCGACCATATGGTGCTGATGGAAATCGCGAACTGTCTTGCATCCTCATGCAAACGGAACATCATATGCATATTAACACAGATTTTAGAGTTTACATTGAGTTGTCCTGCTGACCTGCGCTAGGCCAGACTACAGAAATATGGTACGGCTTCAGGTCTTCTTCAGAGACGAAGTCTGGAGCATGACTCATGATGTCGTGACCTCTGAAGGATTTTGGAAAAGCTATTACGTCTCTGATACTGGGAGCACCTACAATAATGGACACCAGTCGATCTAGCCCTGTTCAAGAGAAAAACAGCACTTTTATAATTATTAGGAATTCACAATATACTGTTTCCATATTTATTATGTATAATTATTTTTTTATCTGTAATTAATAAACACTACTGGTCGAAGGTTTTGGGTCAGTAAAATTGTATAATATTTTTGAAAGAAGTCTCTATTGCTCACAAAGGAGACAATTTGATCAAAAAATTCATTAAAAACAGTAATACTGTAAAAAAAAAAATGTTAAATTTCATTTTAATATATTTTTAAATGTAATTTATTCCTGAAATGGCATATCTGAATTTTCAGCAACCATTACCAAAATTCTGAGATCCTTTCAGAAATCATTCTTTTTTTGCTGATTTGGTGCTCATTTCTTATTATTATCAATGTTGAAAACACTGTGCTGCTTAATATTTTTGTGGAAACCATGATAATTTTCAGAATTCTTTGATGAACAGTTCTTTTTTTTTAAACAGAAGTCTTTTGTTACATTATCAATGTAATAATGTAAAATCAATTATCAATGTCTTTGTCATTTTTGATCAATTTATTGCATCCTTGCTGTATAAAAGTATCAATTTCTTCAAATTAATTAATTTTAAAAACAACCAAACTTTTGAACTGTAGTGTATTTATATTACATTTTTACATTTAAATGACCTTCGCCATCATCAAATGTTAAAAGTTAAAGTTAATCTTTAAAAACATAAATAATTTAATAACACTGTAAATGTAATCTTAAGAAAATCTCAAAATGAAAATAAGTTTTTCACACTATACATTATAATGTTGTGATGCCTGAATTCACTTATAGTATTTAAAACAACTAATTTTAGTTAATATTTATTTCTTTTTTAATTATTTAGACAAAATAGTACAGAATCGGGCATCACATAAAAAAAATTTGAATTTTAATAATATCAGTGCATCCCACAAATTTAAGTGGACTTTTTTAACTCTTTAGATGTTATAATGTAAACAAGAACATGGCAAATTTGAATATCACAGTTTAAGCAAGCTGTAAAAACAGCTCTAGTGCTGCCACACACACAAATAAACCCAAACAGAGGTTCTCGAATGATCAAGGGCACTTCATGCTTCAGTTTACAGTCTCAAACTGAAACAAAGCTGCCAAAAATTCTTGGCTAGCAAGCAATTTAAGTTTTGGAGCATGACCGTTCCACTTTAACCAACAGGAGAATGTAATCAACAAGGCCTTTCGTCACAGTGGTACCCCAACAACCTTGCGAAAGTCCAAGGTAGCATGTGTTGAATGCTCACTCACCTAATGCGATTCCACCATGAGGAGGGGCCCCGGAGTCCAGAGCCTCCAATAAATGAGAAAGAAGTGATGGGTCCTCCTATAACACAAGCAAGACAGAGAAAAAAGGACAAAGTGGACCTTGTAATTCACAGCCTTTTCAGCTTGAAAGGGAATTGTTCATAGTCTCGGCATGTATAAATCGTGCAGATCCATACAACTACTTCAGTGTCAACAGAGTAAATAGGCCTTCAAAATGATTTCCTTTATAGTCACAAATCTTAAGATCGACCTGAGTAAAAACACCCTAATTTGGTGTTTCTTCTCCCTGGCTCTTAAGATCCAAAGCATTTGTTTTCTTTAAAGGCAGTTAAATATAGCTTAAAGGGTTGCCACAGCGACTGAACGGGTAGTCGGTGGTGCGGGGGTGTTAAGTAAGAGTCACAAATAAGAAAATGGTGCAGTCGGGTATCTGGACACGTCCATTACATGTGCTTTAACTCGCTGTCAGAGTAGCATTAAATGATGCTCTTTGCTCGCAGTGTAATTTTTCACTCGTGTTCCATTACCTTGAGAATCGTGTCCAGGATGTACAGCTGCTGAGAGGCATTGTGGATGCGAATCGAACCTCCTCCGATCTCGCAGCCATTCAGCACCAAGTCGTAATGCTGGCCACGCACCTGAGAGAGCAGATAAACAGGTGGGGGAAATGTGTGGAATTCAAAGCGAGATCATACAATTCCTCTATGAAATACTCTGCTCATGACTGTAGACTTACAAAGTGATAAAACCAGACTATTTCTGGGTATCGCCAACTATCTCAAGGTACGTGCACATTTAAATACATAGTGGGGTCAAAATGCTTGAGACCACCAGTGAAAATGTATTCCTATCACAAATTCTATTATTTATTAAGCTATCTAGTTATATACTACTATATATATATATATATATATATATATAGTGGGTACGGAAAGTATTCAGACCCCCTTAAATTTTTCACTCTTTGTTATATTGCAGCCATTTGCTAAAATC